GTTACTCCAGATTTAGTCGTGTAGATTTTTCCTGCATTGATTTTGAATAGTGTAAGTATACTTCTCATGCTGTTGTAAAGTCTGCAGCCTGTTGTGATTTTCATTATCGTTATGTTTGATTTTTACTAAATATAGAGTGGATTTTTCAATCTTAAATTAGTGTGAAATTTATAAGTAATGATATTTTCATTGGTAATAACACCAAAAGGTAGGCAAAAGATCTCTAATGTATTAATCTACTTAGTTGAAATTGTCGTAAAATTGGTCAGATATTAGAAAACAAGAAACAATAATACGTTCCATACTTAAACCGGAAAGAAAACACCTTAAACTTCTCTTAAACTAATCCATGAAGACGATTAACCTTTAAACTATTGTTAACCACCTGATCTTAGTTTGTAACAATGCTACACATATCATCTCACACCACTTATCCTTCGTATTTCAACCCGAATATATGAGTCATGATGACTCATATATTCAGGCTGAAATACGCACTAAGTCCCCATCTCAAATAATTGATAATTAATCTATGGTTCGTACGTATACTATCTATAACAACGATTTGCTGGAATAATTGAATAACCTAAAAGAGTAGTCGATCTTTTGCCCCGGAGATGCGGAAACAAAGCAACCGCATGCAACAGAAAGATGTCATATTTTGAATCCGAAATATCAGTTTGGCCATGATCTTATAATTGTTTTGTCATTGTAAAATACTGAAAAAGTTCACCATATGACTATTGTCGGTTCGTTATTTGGTATCAATCGTATGTGATGAAACGATGTTGTTGTAATCATGCAAAATACAATCAAAGGATAACGCGTCATCATATTTATCACATGATATGATAAACTTAATCAAATGGCAAGTTGAGCATAGGATCAATCTCTAGTGTTAAAGTCTGTTTTTTATAAACTACAAACTACGCTTGTGAAATCGATTCATACTAATGTTTATTTATTTCCATGAAGCAATGATTTTTTAAAATTATTGTTTGACCTTGTAAACTATTTTATGTGTCCTGACTGGTTCATTTGTGGTTTATCTCTATAGATTAGAAAACAGTAAAGATCAATTGTCGCCACTCAAATGATAACAGTCGTAGTTTTCTGGAAATTAGAGGAGTAGGTGTTGCACGCTTAAAATGTCCCTCTTCATACGCACCTCTCAGTGTTATGTATTACGCATTAGCTTCAGTTACTATGCACACCCATACTTGATCGTTCTATGGTGAAGTAATTCTAAAATAATAAAAAAGCCATTTATTTCACGAAAAATAATCCGTTCCAATATTTTATTTAATAAAAAAAAACCAAACAGATACAATGAATTAAAACATCCACAGTAATTAAATAAAACATAAAATTGAAATACCATTTTAATAACCACCAGTGGTCATTTTTAATTGTTAAATTTTTTAGAATTTAATAATTTTGTTTCTCTAGTATTCAAGGTTTGTGGACAACTTGGAAAAGAAAAGCTAAATCAGATTTCTGCGATGCGAAATCAATTTGATGATCGTAAAATTTAAAACTTAAGACATTGTATATGTTCATATAATGGTTTTCTTTTATGGGTTTTATATTAAATTACATGATTTTATATTTAAAATATGATTAACTAATGGAAAACAATTTTCAGAATTTAAATTGCTTCAAATTCAAGACTTACGAGAGGATAATTAATGTAGATAAGCTTTATGACAGTACTTAAATATATTGATCTATCTAATTTAGTTAAAAATATATTTTTTTAAATTATGATTACGGTAAGCATTTTATTTAGTTGAAATCTGCACGTAATTGGAATTAGTAATATTTCTGAAAGCTTTGGAAAAAACAGATTAGTGATAAAAATTATACTAAACATAAATTATCTCTTCCCGATAAAAGCATATTCATCCTTTGGACCTACAACTTTATTCGATTTTACAACAAAGAGCTGAACCACAAAGTAAGATTATATATTCAAGCACAGATGTAATTTAAATGTTAAACCAATTTCACTTGTTAAAAGAATTCCATTTAATTTGAATTAATTGAATTTAATTAATTCCAAAACGCAAAGAGGCAAATCTTGTTCCATCGTGTATTCTTCCAACAGGTTATATATGAAACTGTATGTATAGTTACTGTTTGACAACTATACTATAAATAACTTCTTGATCAGCATTGTACGTGTTATTAAATTTACGGAAAGTAAATAAAAGAAACGTCTTATAACACTTAAAACATATATTTACGCTTATACTGTTACTCACAAGACGGTAAATATACAAAATACCCCCGCCGCAGCAAACCTGCCGTCTAAGCGAATTTCCATTTGGCTGAATTGATTTTCAATCGACCTATTTAAATAACATTAGGTTTAACGAGTACCTAGGTTTGCTGCTACAAGGAAACTAATAAAGTGTGTATTTTAAGTAAAATAATTATTGCTTAGTAGAAAATGAATACATTTGCCAAGTTTGATCAAAAGATATCCATAAACAAGCAAACTACATTATTTTAAAATATTCTCCATAAGAATAACATGGGAATTTTAAATTTACAATTTTTTTAGTTTTCTCCGTAACCAATAACTGTACAAAAACACTTTGATATACTGAATTGTTTGTTTTTTTAAGCTCTTTAAGAAGGTTTAGAGAAAAATCGGGAAATTTTGTGTTTTGAGGGTCAAAAGTGAGAAAAACCAATTTTTACCCCATAAAACCCTGTTCCCATGGTCCGATCATGCTGGATCGCGAACTCATTCAAGTTTATCCCGCCTTACACCTTCAAACCAAATTTCATCAAAATCGGATAAAAATTACTCAAGTTATCGTGTTCACGGACACATATATATATAAATCTATATATATATATATCTATATATATATATATACATATATAAAAATTTGAACGAATGGTGTTTTTGGCCTCTGGGGACATCAAAATGAAAAAGTAAATCGGTCCCGGGCCTAAGTCTTACCATGAGACCTACGGTAATAGCTACTTCCCTATAGGGAAATTCGCTAAAAGATGGTAAGTGGTGATCGATTTCGATTTGACATTCCAATCATTATCAGACCCAATATTCGACCCCATTCGCCTCGGTCTGATGATGATTGGAGTGTCCAATCGAAATCGATCACCACTTACAATTTTTTTTGTATATTTACCGTCTTGTGAGTAACAGTATAAGCGTAAATATATGTTTTAAGTGTTATAAGACGTTTCTTTTATTTACTTTCCGTAACTATACTATACTAAGGTTAAATTCAGATTATTAAACCTTGATGCTATTCTGATTTTCTGTTTAATTTCTTTTTTCAGGAGATACACTTTACACAACTTTGAATTTACCAACCCATTTTTATTAGTCTTATAAATATAGCAAAGCTATGTAGTGTTATTTTACCAAGAAAAAAATTGCGTTAGTAATTATATTGAGTTAATTTTATAATTGAATTGAGCGAGAGAGTATTTTTTTAGCGAATTTCCCATATAGGGAATAAGCTATTACCGTAGTACTCATGGTAAGACCTGGACGCGGGACCGATTTTTTTTTTCGTATTGAGGTCCCTAGAGGCCAAAAACACCATCCGTTAAAATTCATATATATATATATATATATATATATATATTTATATATTTATATAAATATATATATATTTATATATATGTGTCCGTTAGCGCGATAACTCGAGCAAAAATGATCCGATTTTGATGAAATTTGGTACAAACGTGTAAACCTACGTTTATTCGAACGAGTTCGCAATCCAGCATGATCGGACCATGGGAACGGGGGTTTACAGGGGGTTTATGGGGTAAAAATAGGTTTTTCCCATTTTTGACCCAAAAAACATAAAATTTAGCAATTTCTTTCCAAACCATTTTGTAGAGCTTAAAAAAACAAATAATTTAGTATATTGAAGCGTTATTACGCGCCTAATGGTTACGGAGAAAATTCCAAAAAATTGTAAATTTAAAATTCCCATGTTATTCTTATGGAGAATAAGTAAACTGTTGTAGTTTGCTTGTTTATTAACATATTTTGATCAAATTTGGAAAATGGTTTTATTTCTAACTAACTATTAACATTTTACAAAAAAAAAACAGTTTTACCCTCCCTGATGCAGCAAACCTAAGTACTTGTTAAACTAATTCTATTTAAATAGGGAATAAATGTTATATTTTTAAGTAGACATTTCAGTGTAAATCCAATCAGTCAAATGGAAATTCGCTTAGTCTGCAGGTTTGCTGCGGCGGGGGTATTTTATATTTAAGAGTCTTGTATTGGTTTAAAAAATACATTCCCTACTATTTGTTTAGTAAAAGATGTTTAACGTTGTAACCTATATTATTCCTGTGCAATAAGTCACTTACTTAATCTTGTGTATAACATCTCAAGACTCAACGTTACCATTAAAATCATAACAACCCAATTGTGTAGTCTTATGGAAAAGTTATTTTTTCGTAGGATGCTCACAACAAACTAATCAATGCTGAACAGTACGTTGATTTTTAAGTTAACTAAACATCATACTCTAAAGAACACTTAATATAATTTTATTAAACCCTTTAAATATTAATATAGTATATATATTTTTTTTTTCTCAGAAAAATAACTTTTGGGAACTCTATGTGTATGAATCATACTTGAATGATGAACATCATTCACATGTATGAATCATGACTTTTATATTTATATTTTACCCGATATTATTGAGGATAATAATTGATATAATATAATTTTTTACTAAAAACGCACGTTAATAGTGTGATTTTCAGAAACAAACCTCTTTATTCTCGAATTCCTTGGCTTTAGTGAATTTTTATACAGCAAGATTACGCCGAAAGAAAAACTATTTACAATATATCTCAAAACTAATTTTACAATCTGACTCAATTCCTAAAGTTAAATATTGAAAGATTTAGATTATGGTTGTGAAAAGGCGTGACTCAATATGACTCACAGACTCGCTCACATGACATGGGACTCTTCAAAAGCCTAATCAGCTGATAACAGGACTACAAGAGTCGTAGTTTATCCAAGAGCTTCACTCTTACATTTTCACCAGCAAGCATGTCAGGTAAGACATCACCAAAATAATATTTTAGAAATTTTTCTTACATATTATTTTCATTTTGTTTTTCTAACTTCATATGCCAGAAAAGTTATTTCTAAACCCAATGGATGATATAAAATTAATATTTTCAATTGTTCGTACAAATATGGTGTACATTATTTATATATGAGATTTTAATTTTGTTATAATAAAGATAAAAATACCACAATAAATGTTAGATTGATTTTAGTTATACCAGATTGTGCGGAATTAGTATGGAGAAAAGAATTTGTTAAGATTGAAGCTGTAAGCTGATTACAGTTTATGTAAAAGAGCAATTTGAAAAATTATCTGTTTCTTAAAAGACAATACATGCTTCGCTTTGATGAAATGATTGTTTTCCATATCCAGCTTGTAACTAATTTGTAATTTACTACCACTAGAAATGGTATTATAAAATATTAACATCAACACCTAAAATCGAAATACATAAAAATAATTTAGCTAGCCTTTTTAATCCAATTACTACCACAAAATCACAAGAAATCATATAATTAATTTAAATATAAATTAGGTGCTATATTGAAATATGTTTATTAAAAAACTTTACTATAACTAAAAGTATAACTTTTATCCTTATGGTTCCTGTGTTTGGAAATTGAACTAGTTAAATAAATTACATCAATTTTCCAACACAACATATCTCAATAAAGTAGTTCTTTGATAAAGAAACTATAACGAGGCTTAACTTTAAATAATTCTAATTTCCAAAAGCGAATGAGACCAATGTTCAATAATTGAATGAGAACCAATATATATTTTTTTTAAATATGTGCACAACATCACCATTTGGTTATTATTACTACTTAGAAAACTGCTTCGATCTATGAACGTCACATTATGTACTTTTAAGAATTAAGACATAATCATAAGATTAATAAGCCATCCTCCTCTGAACTCATTGAATCGAATCTTACAACTGCGTAAATGATTATAACATAAGCACACCTTTGTTATCAATGAGATGCATTTAGGTATGAAGGGATAAAGAAATATATATTATAATTACAGTTCAGGATTATACAGTTAGTGTTTTTTTTAAGATAGTGACTTAAATAAAACTTGATAAAACATAATTAAAATAAATTTTTAATTAAAACTAAGACTTAAGGTTTTTACGTTTAGAAGAAATCATTTTAAAATCGATCCTTGTACACATAGTTAGACAAGCTTGTAGATTTTACCTCACTCGAGTATAAGCTTGTTGTAATACATAAAATTTTGGGACTAGTGAATTTTAAAATCTGAATTGCACAACAATTTAATTCCCTGATCCTTATAAAATGAGTTCTGTTATATCTTTGAGCAATATTATTGAAGCCACTTACATTTTATTCCTTATCGATGTCCATAATATCATGTAGGCCTTGGTTTCTTAAAGTTTCATCAATGATCAATACATTTTATAATATGATGATCATGGCAGTATAAAATCGTATGATGGTAGTAGTGTTTTTTGTGATATGATAGTATGTTTTGTACTTAAACATGTATTCATCATTTAACTTCTTGGCGCTATTATAGTACGGTATATATGTATACAGGACGTTACAATGACGATCGGTTACAACCAGTCACATAGTTCAGGGCCAATTCGAGAGTTTTAAAGTTACCTAGACTTTATTGGGTCAATTATTCGTCTTGATAGATGTATGTTTTGTATTTACTATTTTTAAACTGACTTTTTGGGATAAACATGTTTGATTTGGCATTTAGTTTGACGTAATAATAACATGACATGAAATTGACAAAACGAAAGTGAGTTTACAATCGTGGACACGTTTAGTCTAAGCTTGTCTTGCTATAGATCCTTTCATGCGTTGTTGACTAACATAGCTGAAAGTGAAACTAACTTACAGTATTTACAACACACAAAAAAGAAAAACAACTTTTAGCTTACAAGGAAAAATATAAATTTAAAACAAAACTTGGTTGGTGACTACTGAGGTGATGTGCACTCTACTACTTGTTGTCAAGATGTATTTTATGGAGTAGTAGGCTTTTTGAATAAGCCTATCTCGTACTACCCTGGCAAACGTTTTGGTTTATCCGGAAAATGCCGATTTCTGGGGGAAGCTTGTAGTAAAATATCAAAGTTCACTGTTCCTTTGAGGCGGAATCTCGGAATGTCAATTTTGTTTCTGCAGCGTGTATTACGGTTAGGAATATCTCCTCTGGTCTTAAGTAGCTCAATGTTCGACCTATAACATGTACAAGGGAGGGGAATATACTGTCCTATAACAGTGTACACGTTCAGCCTTCTTAATATTGGTCCATAATTGTTCCTAGGTAGAGTACTGGATATTATGGTTCTCGATGCAGATGGTGTAGTCTAAGTACTTCATCACATCCTGAAGCATGGCCACGGAGTATTCTGTAGGTTAGCTTTAGAACAGTCAATGATGTTAATTATGAATGGTTCACTTATGCTACTCTTCAGTCTACTCCATTTTAATACTTTCTTCTTCTCATATTAACTTATTTTATTTGCAGATTACGGGTATGGTGGTGGTGGCTATGGTGGACCCCCTGGATACCCGGGTGGACCTCCTCCACCCCCGGGCTCATGGACTCCGCCAAACAGAGGTAAACCAATTACTAGCCACATTCTGAACCACTCTTTGACTTTGAAACTGAGAACAATTTAAAATGGAATTAAATGAGCTATGGTTATTAGTTTTACAATTAGATTTCATTTATTGCTCACCTTAATCGGTTTAAAGCACATTTAAGGGGGCCCCGTTAATACATTGTAAAACTCCGAGAAATGGTTCTTTAAACCAAAATAGAGAGAGAACCAAGAATGTATTTTTATTTAAAAAACGCATCATTAACCGCATATCTACCATTTAGTTTTTCCACATAACATGTTTATCATTTCATTGATCCAAACAATCTTAATAAACTTAGAATGGAAAAAAAAAACTCTATGTTAGAAAACTATTAAGTTGGTCATATTTAAAATTTCTAATTGGCGGCCAATTTAACTTGTATAGCTTAAACGGTTTAAGAGTATGCCAATTTGATTAAAAATGCCAAAACACTTTTATTTTGGATTTAAAATTTCCTATCAAACGACACTAAGTTAAAAAAGATCGAATATCAAATAGGTGAAGAATCACTACTTTTAGTTGTAAATAAGTAAAAATGAGGAGCACCGTGACTAGCTTATGTCTGATTTAAAAAATTATACAAATTAATATCCCCTTATTATGAACTTTGTTTTTGCCCCATGACATATTTTGTCAACTACCATTTGCGTGCATCAACTTAGTATTACAGTTTAACCCGTTGAATGACTGTATTCAATAGAATAGATCTGTGACATCAGTATGTCAATTGTCTGACTTTAAAATCACCATTCCATTAGTCAATGAGATGATTAAACATAGCTCTGATGTCATCGATTCTTGGAAAATTTCCAGTTTTATGTTATCTTATCAAGTGAAGTTATTTACATTTGTGGTTTGGTTTTATTTGTCAAATATAACCTAAATCATTCCAATGACAAACCCAGTCTTCTGAGTTGTGCAACGCACACAAAAATATTGCACTATCTACTGCGCCAAGTGTTTTCATTACGTCAACGGATTTTACTGCACTTATCTTTGCCACATTGGCTGATATGTGTACACTTGTGGCATGAAGTATTACAGTGCTAAAGTTTATTCAGTTTTTTTAAGCCTTCTTGATTTTTGTTAAAAGCTTATCTGTTGTTTAACAAACTTTACCAGGTTGTTTTACTGGTTTTCTATTACTACAGCTTCAGTTATATTACCTGAAGAAATGCTAATTTTCTGCAGCACGAGACAGCTTTAATTTTTGTTCTTCAATGGTCGGAGCGTTTGACCAGACTTGCCAGAATATATTTCGAGGTTTTAAAATCTGATCTGTTTTAATTTGTGTAAAAAAACTTATGATACCTAAACAAATTGGTTAGGTTGACTTATAACGAATTTCCCATACAGGGAATAAGCTATTACCGTAGGTCTTATGGTAAGACCTGGACCCGGGACCGATTTACTTTTTCTTTTTGATGTCCTCGTCACCCCAGGTACTCGTTAAACCTAATGTTTTTGAAATAGTTTTAAGTAAAAATCAAATCAGGCAAATGAAAATTCACTTAGTCTGCAGGTTTGCTGCGGCGGGGGTATTTTTATCTTCAGAAGTGTGTATTGTTTGAATTTTTATAATATTTATATCGATTTTAAGAGTAAATGTTGATTATTTCTGTACATTGTGTTGCACCTGTCAGACGGTCCGTCCGGCAAATGACTAAAGTGTTTGTATACAGATACCCTGTGTGGTACCTGAGTATGCACAAGGAAAACTTCAACAATATCCACTTTTTTTCTCTTATTTTATGATAATTGCGAGTTAACCATCACTCTACTAAAAATGGTAGAGCTTATATTTGGAGTTATTTCTTATGCAATACATGGTACTGATCATGTAGTATTCTGAACTATTCTATTTTAGTGTACTGCATGTGCATTATTGACATTGGCAATGATGTCAAATTTAGTTAATTGTTTGTGTGGATTAAACACCAATCTTATGAAGATAACATATTTCTTCAGTGATGGTGATAACTGAACTACTTGGGCTGCCATGACACATTGTTACTGAAAATGTAAAAAGTTTATCATGGAAATTTTCAATCACAATAAAAAAATAAAACTGTCCACGTCGTTTCTTATTCTGGAATTTGATCCCGTCCTCAGGCGAGAAAGTATCCCAACATAACAATACAAACTCCACAACAAAGCCCAGGTAAAGCTGGGAAAGCACAAAGAATTCTAGCAAACTTCCTCGTAAGAAGGTATAAGCTACCGTAGTGTTCATGGTAATAAGTAGGCTCGAAACCACTTTACTGATCATCTCAGGGTACCCAGAAGCCAAAATATATTTTCTCGAAGGAGAATCCGTTCGTTGTACCCTAAAAAGTGGGGGTTGTTCTTTTTCACTCAAGTTTTATCGTTTTAGCATCAAACCTAAAACCTCATCGAGCCAATATTCTTCCGTCTGCACTGGCCATAACTGTTAGGGTACAATCCCTTGTTTACTATGGTTGCCTTTGAATACAACGTTAACACAACATATGGGCATTTGCTTAGTATGGAGGTTTTTGAGGTGGGGGTGTAGGTGATTTTAGATATTTCTATGCACTTCATCTAGATAGAAATTTCTATTCTAGGTTACGGACCCGGCAGAGGTTACTATCCTCGACCAGGGCCTCCTCAGTACGGATATGGGAGTCCACCGGGACCCTTCCCCCCACCCCCTGGGTATTCAGGAGGGTGCCCCCCTTCCCCCACTAGCCTTTGGAAACCACCAAACAGAGGTAGTTATTGCTATGCAGAGGGGACTTAATGGGAAAGATGTAGTTCTTCCTATGCAATTCATCCAGATAGCAATTTCTATTCTAGGTTACGGACCAGACAGAGGCTACTATGGCGGCCCTCCAGGTCCTCCTCAGTACGGATATGAGTGTCCAACGGGACCCTACCCCCAACCCCCTGGGTATTCAGGAGGGTGCCCCCCTCCACCCCCTGGCCCTTGGATACCACCCAACAGAGGTAGTTATTCCTATGTAGAGAGGGAGTTAATCAGTATAAATAAAAATTAACACCCCTTGAACTATTCCATGTCGGTGAACCTTGAATTCACTACGATTGACAGAAGAGCAACCAACACAATTTCGCCAGTCTGATATAATATGCTGGGTTAAAAAAATACTTTAATAGACGTCCAATATCACTGAAACTGCTGTTGATGCTAATATTTAGTAATATACAAAGATTGAAATCAACAAGCGTTCATGGTGCAAAATGTTACTAAAATTGCATGATTGCAATATGCCCAAAACACAAGAGGTTATGATTTCTATAACTTTCTGATTCCACAATCATTCCACCAGTCATGATTATGGTACCCACAAAAACAATGTCACTCCATACTTTATATTAACTGATATTCAGGAGACATATTTCTATATGAAGCCAGCTTGCTTGTACTTGTTTTGTTAACTTGTGTTCTCCTGTTTCAATTTCATAGTTGGGAACGTCGGAAACTAAATACCAGTAAACAGAATATCAATCGATTAGACTGTCCCAACGTTTCTTGAATATTGCAAAAACTAACTTAGACATATCTTTAGGACCCCTCTAGGGCTGCTACCTGCCCAAGGAGGGGTTTCTTTTATTTAAAAGAAGAGGTTTACTGTACTACTCTCAAAATATATTCTCTTACAAATTAAAGGTTGAAGAATATCAAACGTAAAAAAAATCTTCTAAGAAACTTTCATGTTTTGTCAGTTTTTTTGCTCAACCGTACTCCATAGATTGAGGTTAACACATTTGAAATGCCCTGCTAGGACACTGTGACCTCCCTGCTGGCAATCGCGTAGATGTTTAGGTTCAGTTGACAGCTTAAAAATGTTAACCACCACAAGCACAGTAGCCTTCAAAGCAAAGTGTATGTAAATGTGTGTAAACTGCAAGTCCCCTACGTTGTCGTACATATTGATTACTGTTCGGTAAAAGCTGACATTCTCAAAATGCTGCTTAATGATGGAGCAACGTGGTAAGAAAATCAGGCCGTAGGACAACACTTCAATTGGGTCTTCAATTAGTACCCTATATTTCGGACAGAAGATGTTTTCTTAACACAACATTTTCATGTTAAGAGTAAGTTTACCTTCATCTGAAGTTCGTTTGTGTGTTTGTAACGTTGGGAAATTCCGAAGATAACTAAATACATCATCCAGTTGTTTTTCATCCACGTTTCATAATACTACTTCGTTCTGACACATCTTACTTATTTATATTCACCTGACTTACTTGACGAAGTAGACGTGTTTGCTTGGATAATTGCAGCATGGTGCTCGGCCAGGATTTTGCAACAATGTCCCAAGCTGGAGTCACCTTCTCCCAGGACTTTCTTGTTGGTTACATTTTCTTACACAATCCTTGAACAATGGTTACTGTTACTAAATTTCCCTGCAATATGTTCCAGAGGCAGGTTTAACTTGTTTCAACGCTGTTCTTTTGTGAAAAGGCCTGTCGTATCATTTTTTACCAACCAAACCCATTGTGTAAGTTTTGCCTTTCTCATTACCTTTTGCAGGTTACGACTGGTACCAATGGGAGCGTCCGTCTCATTGCAGAGGAGAATTCCACTGGATCCACTGTGAGCCGGGCCAGATACCATATCACGCTGTACATGCAGGAAGAGACAAGGACGGAGGTCCCCTGTACGCTGGTAGAGCTTACTACGAAGGAGATTTGCTTCCAGCCAAGATCGCACCTTCTCATCACAAGGCTTACGTGCCTTGGGGAGGCAAGGAACATGTAGTCCATCAGTTTGAGGTGAGGTTATTTTATATTCGTCACATCCTTTAAATTAACATTGCTTTTACACCTTGAATTGAACAATCTGCGATATCCACATGCTTTGGAGGTCTACGGTGTAGAAAACATCCCGATATTGTACATGAACCATATATCACTTTGCCAGATAAGTAACAGTCAAGAACTTGATGTTTACTCGACAGTTACATTCAGGGACTGGTCAACATTTACCATTACATCTTTTAGAATATAAACGTAGTGTTTTCAGATAAAAACCAGAGATAAATAAAAGGTTAAGAAATCAGTTGATATCTTGTGGGCCAAAATTCCGCTATTCTCTTTCAGGATAAAGGCGAATAACCCAGAAAAAATACGATCAAAAACTGTTATTGTATGAGTTTTTTTTTTTTTTTTTTTTTAACAAAACGCAGGTGTGAGATATATATTATGTGTAGTCAACATAGAACTATGTAGTATCTATGTTCAAAATTTAATTTTCATCCATGAAACAGGTGCTGATCAGCCATCACGCTGCATGGGAGGAAGATCGTGACGGAAGAGTTCCACCCGCGGCAATGGTCATTGGACAAACTGTGGATGGAGAAAACTTGTACATGGGTAGAACAATGCATGATGGGACACTCACTCCTGGGAAGGTACATGACTAGTATACACTATAACTAAAATATGGGGTTGCCTTGTATACTTAAAGTTTTAAAAACAAAATTAGAACTTCCTTTTTTTGGAGTAACGCAAAGACCCTATTTATTATGTTAAGGGTACCAGAGGAGCTTAATGTCAAAGGTGAAAGCCAACTAAAATCAAAGGTTTTATACTTACAAAAAAAAAATAAAAATAATGTAAAACTTCGTAAAAGTAGATAAAAATAACTAACAAGTAGTTTTTTCTAGCATTTAAAACCAAATAGAACAAATATTTGATGATTAAAATGGTTGAGAGATGAAGTATTAACAGAATACAAAACATTTTTAACGCTGTGCATAGGTACTGGGAGGAGATCTGTCTCCGTAGTGCTCGCTCCGACCGCTGTTGGGTTGGAGGAAGGTCTTTTTCTAATTTCGACCTACAGTTGTATAATTGAATCCGTCAGGAGATTAGATGATCTAAATCCTATAGCTCATTCAGTAACGAAAACAAATGCAAAACACATTTTACATGTTCACAAACTGTCATTTTTGAAGCGAATTTTCAGTATAATCCATTATACTAGGGTAGTTAAGTTTTCAGTTTTAACTTGAGTTGGTTTGGAAACTATTGTACTCGTATATGAAACTCGCATTTAAATAAAGGTCTTATTAATTATTTAACTATATTACAATATCGCATGATTAATTTTGTTTTTTTAATAAATATTTTCATTTTCTATAAGTTTTGAAATTTCAGGAGCCAAAGGTAACATAGATCAGCATTCAAATTTAAATCAAAATTATCTGTAATAATGATTTTATGTATTTTCCCAGTGGCAAGAACTAGAATATTTAATAATTTTTTAATTAATTACCTTGAGCCTTTGGTCTTGCAGGATGAAGTTATAATCCTCCAATATATTTCACCACAGTGTGTGGCATCTTCAGGGAGTCTTGAAGTTCTATTTACATATTTACACTTCAAGACTCCCTGAAGATGCCACACATTGTGGTGAAATATATTGGAGAATTATAACTTCATCCTGCAAGACCAAAGGCTTAAGGTAACTAATTCAAAAATTAAATATCTGTAATATTACCAAAATAAATTGAAAACTTCAACTTCACTTTGAAAAAGGGACTAATAATTTTGAAGTGCTGGTTTCGTTTTGTGAATTTGACTCACAGCGAGCAATTTAATTTACCATGTATGGATAAAGGAGATAAATTGGGTATATTACTACCTTTATTACAGCTTAAAAGTCACAGCTCACAGGCTTCGTTACGTTCGTATGGTGAAAGTATTCGTACGCCGTCCATCCTCCGTTCAAAATAGTTCCAAGAATCCACCACAGATGTCAATAGCTGTATCTTCTCTGCTTTCTGCAACAGCTAACCTTACCGGCTCCACATTTATTTATGTATGCTGTCACATAAACAATATATCAAGATGAAGCCACTTCTTTAGATGAGTTACACTTCTATGGAAGATATAGTAATATGATAATAGTTCGCTCGACAAGCAAACGTTTTCATTTGCCCAATAATGATTTTCTACTTAAATGAGTTTATACTGTAGGCCTAATCATACTATGTCTCAATGAAACAGTGTAATTGCTGTATTAATTATCCAAAACAATTAATAAGTAGTAAGAAGGCCTATGATCCACTGTAGATAACTTAATCCTATAATAAACTATTTCATAACATTACAGCTGGCTTTATCTAATTAGTCACACTAAATATAAAACCATTTCTTATAAAATAAGCACAGTTTGTAGCTCTCTATCGAAAGATTTGCCTATCCCTAAGAGGGCTTCAAAGATGTTCTATTGTAATAATTCCAAGTACTTCTCCGATGAATAAAATGATCATATTTCTGCAAATATATAAACAGTTTCAATCCTTCCATGGTACACTTTAAATACGTTTGAACAGCATAACAACACTTCTGAGTATCTGTATAATGCAAAAACGATTTCGGTTTGTATTTTAAACCCTACAAATTATCAAAGTTTGTTTGAGAATGTTTGATAAACGAAAACGTTTGACAATTAAATGTTAAGTGTGGTTGCAAAATATTAACTATTCTATGAATGCTTTTATTTAACCCTTAACCGTAACAGTACTTGATGATTGTGTTGAACATTGTAAAAGTTTAGTCCACTATCCTGAAATAAGGTATGGGATTTGAATAACGTTAACTCCATAAATATTAAATACAAGTCGTTGTGTTAGGTTTAATTCTGTCAAGTGATGGAGCCTACCATTTTACATTGCCTATCCATGGATTAGATAATACGATGATTAATCCTTTTATCACTCGATTTATAATCTTACACATTGGGGAAACGCCTTTAGAAGTTTATAAATACACAACAATGAAACTTTTACATTGCGGATAACATGTTAATACTTTAAATGTTAGTTAGCATTTTCACTTTTCCCTATACATGGTTTACAGAGAAAGTATTGTTTTCGTCATTTTTCGAGTTTTTGGTGGAAAATGGTTCCGTAATTGATACCTGTGTGTATGTATGTGTGTGCGGATGTGTATCAAGCTACAAACTACACCTGTGGTCCTATTTTGATGACATTTGGTATGTGGCTACTAATCCATGTTATTCAGGTGGTTTTTCATTTTTTTTAAATTTTGACAAACTATTTTGGAAGGTTTTGATTAAAGTTTTAAATGTTGTGGTCATTTCATACTAATGATCCTAAATAGGATGGAACAATGCCTAGTGCTGTAAAATGTGCAGTTCAAAAGTTATTTATATTTTTGTGATTTTACCCGTAAAATATCAGTTACTCCCACCGTTTACCCATTATAAGGGTCGTTGATCAGCCAATAGGAGAAAGTATGTGACAGATTGCTGATACAGTTTATTTATAATATTTACGTGTGTTTATAAACCATGCAACCACTCTATTAGCGAATTTCCCTACAGGGAAGTAGCTATTACCGTAGGTCTCATGGTAAGACTTAGGCCCGGGACCGATTTACTTTTTCATTTTGATGTCCCCAGAGGCCAAAAACACCATTCGTTCAAATTTTTATATATGTATATATATATAGATATATATATATATATATAGATTTATATATATATGTGTCCGTCAACACGATAACTTGAGTAATTTTTATCCGATTTTGATGAAATTTGGTTTGAAGGTGTAAGGCGGGATAAACTTGAATGAGTTCGCGATCCAGCATGATCGGACCATGGGAACAGGGTTTTATGGGGGGTTTTATGGGGTAAAAATTGGTTTTTCTCACTTTTGACCCTCAAAACACAAAATTTCCCGATTTTTCTCTAAACCTTCTTAAAGAGCTTAAAAAAACAAACAATTCAGTATATCAAAGTGTTTTTGTACGGTTATTGGTTACGGAGAAAACTAAAAAAATTGTAAATTTAAAATTCCCATGTTATTCTTATGGAGAATATTTTAAAATGTTGTAGTTTGCTTGTTTATGGATATCTTTTGATCAAACTTGGCAAATGTATTCATTTTCTACTAAGCAATAATTATTTTACTTAAAATACACACTTTATTAGTTTCCTTGTAGCAGCAAACCTAGGTACTCGTTAAACCTAATGCTATTTAAATAGATCGATTGAAAATCAATTCAGCCAAATGGAAATTCGCTTAGACGGCAGGTTTGCTGCGGCGGGGGTATTTTTTACTTTAGTGATATTGTATACCACGAAGATTATAACGACTAAGTATCGACAAATGTAAGGAAGAAAATTTTTAAAACTATTGAATACTGTAACACATTTTTATATTTTTCAGATCCAACCAAGTCACAGATGCCTGTACATACCATACGGAGGCCATGAGATAAAATACCATGCCTACGAAGTTCTGATATTGAACTAACGATGAAACAGAATTGGGATTCAAAGAATTAACATAGATTTTAACTAAATTATTAATATTGATATTTTTATTGCATTTTGTTTTCAATTGTTCAAATAATTACCATTACGGATTTAAGTGAATTATATACATAAATAATTTGGAATTATCTTGGTTAAAAGATATAATGTTTTAGTAAGAACCCACCAAGTAAGTAAATATGTCATAACCTGCTTTTTTGTATTCTGGTAATCGTATAAAGAAAACACATATACAACTTATGAACATAATTTAGTTGAATTATTAATATGACACAAGCTAAATGAGGGAATTATTACAAATAATAATCCCTAAATTAAAAGGAAGAAATATTTATAATATGTATCTTACAACAATTATATTATATTAATATATTATCGTTAGTATTCTTATTTCCTAATCAATCCATTAAAATGAACACAAGATTTATAAATTAGAATTTTAATTGTTAAATTCTTAAATAAACGAATTGCTTTACTTACTTCATTTATTTAATTTTATATCATTTAATAATCGAATATTAGTGATAATTTGGCGATACTTCACAGTCATATATGACAGTTTGTAATAAAATAATACACCTTTCTAAACAACAAAATACTGCCATTGGTTAAGCATATACATGTTCCAAGTTCCAACATTCTAACAAAAATAAAATTTATTTTAAAAATAGATTATTATTATTTTTAAATGTTCGTGGTTTGCAAGTATGAATGTCATGAACAAAATATTAAATACACCTCTACAGTGATAACCATTCATAACTTGTAACTCCTGCGCCGTTTTATTCTGTCACGTACGAGTCTTTTAACCCGAGGTTTCACTTGTCAGTTACAAAAGGGAGCGATTTCACGTAAATCTTCATCCATCAAACGTGAAGTTTTGCGTGTACTCAAAGTGAGAAAGAATCATTCTGAGAGCAGATATATAGCAATAAAAAGCTTAGAAAACTGTATTTTTTCTATCATAATAGTAGTTGGTACATAGGCTATTGTCCAAAACATGTATATGTCTCAATATCATAGGTTCACATGTTAATTTAAAAAGATTCTAAATACTCTTACATTTTAAAATCATAAATCATAGATCCATATATAAAAACAATAGGTTTGGACATGACCCAATTTCATCATGTGTGACCAGCATCTTATCATTCACAATAATATAGAATCCAAACAAAAATCAAAATGTAAATATCTTTAATTGTATTTAATATAAAAAAGGAAATAGATGATAGATCAAGATGTTTTAGCTTACCCTCTTCAAGAATAGGTCTTAATTTACATAATAGAAGGATCATGCATCGTGTTGCTGATCAGGTTCATCGCAAAAAAAACTATGTTTTTTATGATAACTCTCACTATAATGATGTACAATTTTTACAAATCTTAATGGATGAGTTTGTTGTGTACCTTCAATTACATCAGAACCATCAAAAGATTAAAAACCTCTGTATTATAGCATTAAGGTTTGGAACAGTTGATATTAAGGCTAACATTAAAATATAGTTTGATAACATAGAGAGCAATGTGTGATGAACGCAACTGCCTGTATAATTGATCATCCCCAACCCCTCCGACCCCACAGTGATCAAAGGGAGCCCTGAAGGACGACACCACATCCCAGTGGTAAATTAAATTTATTGACCTGAATTTTTTAGCTAAAGCTACACCCTAGTCAGTGCACAACAAAGGAAATGTCAACTCTTAAGATCATGTTTTTTAAACGTAAAGATCTGAAATAAAATATTGTATGTTCCGCCTTAAATGTGTAAAAAAAAACACTTACTTGTTACAACAATATTGGTGTACACATTGTAGTTTTTAATTGGAGAAAATATAAAGAACAACCCGTGCTCTCTAATCTAAGTGAATGCTGCTAGGTTGTGTGGTCGAGTTAGTCCAAATAATTTATTTGAATTGAATTTAAAATTCTTTATTGTTCTTTAAAATACAATACAATGTGTTATTTTACAATGAAGTTGATCATAATGATATTATATTTTAACTCTGCAAAAGATAGTATAATTATTACTCAATAAACATATCTAATTCATTATCATCGAAAAATAAAGCCCTCAGATGATAGGTCCTATGCGGGAAATAAACATTTTTAGTAAATAGCACAACTCGTACCTGGAAAGTCTAGGTTTTCACCAGTACCACTTACAAAAACAAACTCACAGGCTAAAAAACTTATAAAACTAAAAAACTTATAGGCAGCTTTGTTAAAAAAATTAAAAAGATAAAAACTAAGGTTTCACTAACACCTTTACACAACACACTATCAAGCAAAACCTTACCGGATCAGTCGGAAATCAACCCTACCTACCCTGTCAGTCATGCTTACTGTTTAGGATATCCTTAACAATTATTACAGCCTTGAATTAAACGTAGATTCTAACTTGAAATACATACAAAGACAATTTAGAATATTTGTACTTTATCGCTAAAGGAATGTGGCAAACAGTGTGTCTATTACATCCATTGCAAGTAAGTAATTTCGGGTTAATTTGCTAAATACTTTGATGTCTGAGCTTGCTTTAATACACTCAGGAGAAAGGTTATAGGACGTAACAGCTGAAAATATAAAAGGAGCAAACCACATAAAACATATAAATCTTCAAATACTGTATAGTTCCCATAGTTCCCCACATAGGCGAAGCCTTTCCGTGGGCAACGAGGTACCAATTGTCATCCTAACATAGCCTTAGGACCTACCAATACAGTGAAATTAAATTATTAAGAGAACAAAAAAACATATATATTTAACATGAAGCTGTAGCTCCAAAGTCACAAAAATGGTCCAGGGTATGTTCCCTAAAGAGAAATCTAGAATTTGAAACTACCCAAATCGTCGTGAAGCAGATTTACAAAGCCAGATCCTTGGGGCTTACAAATGGGTCTGCTGCTGTTTGATTGGTCATTAAAAACTCGTTTCAGCAGCCGAGTATGTAGTTTGTAATGATGGATGCCGGAAGGAAATTTATTTCTGGTAGGGTGTTCTACAAGATTGGTTGGTCGGAACCAGCCGAAATATTAAAGGTGGGTCTAGGGAGCAGAAAGACGATTTCGATAGTTTCAAAATTCTAAATTTCTCATTAAATAAACACTGGGAGCCAGAGAAGTGAGTAATTTTCCCGGCGATTTATTTTGGTATGTTTCTCTAAAGAGAGTACGTGATCTAAGTTAACCCCGTACGTATTCGTTTTCTATTTAAGTTTCTCCTTTAGATTTAATCAGATACCTCTAAAATTCACCATTATCTTTAATTAAATACCTTAATTTCTATAAGGGAAATTCACTAAAAGGTATATTATTTGTGTGTGTGGCCTCTATGCCTCTAAAATATCTTCTATTTTTAGTAGCTAAAAATGTATTTTCCATTTAAAATATTTTTTGTCAGCGTATGAGGAAGATTAACAGTGTAAGCATCAATATTAAGGGGGCGCAACTACACGCTGATGGCATACCGTCTTTGAGCATCCTGACAGGGCTTCTATGTGCCCGTGGACTGTTAATAATCTGCCTCTTGACATAGTGTCAAGCATTTGCATAACTACGGGGGGCAGATATACAGTTTACATATCTGTGTGACTTAAAAATCAATTTAAGTCTAACAAAAGTTAGCCTATAATTATATACTCATAGTAGCAATCATGACTATCATCACATCATTTGATAATTAAAACATACCTATTACTATAAATCTATTATATATTATGTACTAATATAGATAGTTCCTAGTCTGCGCATAACTTTTACCCAGCTTAAAAATATGATAGATTATGCAACCCTTTTTCACGAATAAACGGATCTTGATTAAAGAAGTATAAAATAAACATACAACCTAAATTTTAGATTGTAATGAAACCAATTTCAAACGAACATCATTGTAATCAGCTGCTTTCAAATTAATCACACAGTTTCAGATCGGCTTAGTTCGTATGAATATAGACTGACTTAATATGCAAATACCTGCTTTGGATGAGCTTTATACATACAATTTATTTCAAGGATGTGAAGAAAAAGTAAAATATCACTGAAACTTTGTTTGGATGTAAGAATATAATTACAATTGTCAACCAAGAGAGATATTACTCATTCATCATTGACGGTAATTAATCAATATCAATTCCTCCAAGGTCGTGTTAAAAAATTTGCAAAGCCATTCTTCGCTACAAAATACAAACTTCGTTATGATTTGTATTTTTCTATTACCTGTACGATTTGGTAGCTTACTTTAAAAGTCCACAACACGTTTTCAGTACACAAGGCGCGAATTAACACTATTAGCTTGTAATTATTATTATTAAATTTTCCCCAATATGTTCGTGGTTTATAAAATAATATAATAAACATATTACACAATGGAGTAATGCCAGGCCTATTTCAGAAGGGACATAAATAATAATATAATAAACATATTACACAATGGAGTAATGCCAGGCCTATTTCAGAAGGGACATAAATAATAATATTTTAGTATTCAACAGAATATAATGGTAACTCAAGGTTATGTTAGTAACACTGTGTCAGTAATGCTCTTATACGAAAATCAATCTAAATCAACCCGAACGTAGACCACGCATATTTTAATTATTAAATAACGTTATAAATAGCTAAAAATAATAAGCCACTAATTAATTCAGGAGTGATTCCAAATTTATTTGTACTTAAACTAAAAACTTGTGATTGGTGTGTAAGCGTATAAAATATAATACTGATTTATTTATTGACCTCGGGAATTGACTTCAAAAAGAATAATCAGTGTAAAAAGTCACTGGATCACATACTAACAAGTGATTTCAAGGCATCCACAGTTGTAGAAGTTAAGGTCTGTCTTCGTTAACTGCAGAGCACGTTCTGGAGTGGATGATGTGATACTCCAATTACGTTTTTAATCGGGAACCAGACAAAATGAAAGATGATTATCTCCAACAATACTACAAGCTTATTCTTTAAGATTGATTCACATACATCAGTTCCGGCACATCACAGTTCAGTCATATCAGTCACGTAGCATAAACAAAATGATACTTTAATCTTTAAACGACTTGCTATCTACAATCGTCCGGTACAGTCCCGACGCATGTCCGGTCGTTCTGCCCGCGTCCGTCAGTCAATTCCAAATTTTTCTTACCACCGATATTTCGGGATTGTTCGGCCGCCTGACGAACGTGTGATGTATGTATTGACATTCAAACAAAAGTGGTTTTATTATCTAAAAAAATGAGCTGAAACTGTATTTTAAATACTGTTAATAACCATCATCAAGATGGACGATGAAAAACTGATAGAATATTGTGTTTTAGAAAAAGATTTTTGATTGTAAAATTACTGTAAATAAAGTTAAAAAGACTGACTGAAACCAACTG